TAACGATATATAATTTTTTTTTAAAAAGAATTTTATTATGCCTATATATTTATATTTTTATTAAAAACAACAAACATAAAAAACATTTTTTTAACGCTATTACGTGTGCTTGAGTATATTTTCCATTTTTTTCCCCGACATTGTGCTTTTACGCACATACGAGTGTATTTCGACATGCACTTACACTTTCTTATTCTTTTCCAGGACGGCTGGATAAGAACGATGCAGTTTACGAGGAGTCGAAATTTTCGTTGTAAATTTCCTTTTTCTTACTATGTTGTACCTCGGTCCCATATAGTAAGGAAAGACGACCAGACGCTGCTGAACTTAGTAAGCTATCAGAAGAGTGTTTACCAACGACAAACTCGTTGGGTTTAAACTCCTGGCTGGCCACGTCTTAGGGTCGTCACTGCCCCACTAGGGGGGAGTGATCTGTAGCGGTAAATAAATCCCTAAAATAAATAGCTCTGTAAGTTTTCGACATTGGATGCTGACCATATGTTTTAGTGGACTCATCTAGCTGAAGGCGCTCGGTCATGCATCCGCACCAGATCACGTGTGGTAACGCCCTGCTCAACATCTACCGCAATCGCTAGCCAGATTAGATCAGAGAATTCCGATATATTGGTCATCGCCAAATACACTCTTCCGATCTCCTCGACTCTATCTTTTGATTTCTCTGGGTGGGAACGAAATACATTAGGTGTTACTGGTAGAAGCGTTGTCAAACACTGAATACCTGTGACATCATCAATATCATGAAATTCGCAATTCTTTACAGCCATGATATGAATTTTTTATGACTTATCCGTCTTTATTATAATGAGTCCGTTATACAATTTGGAAATAATCCACAAACATGATAATGATGATAAAAATAGTTAGATAATAAAAGTAGCTTGTTATGAAAAGTCCAACGCAAACTAACTGTACAGAAATGATTACTAATTTATTCCAATCCAGGAGAAACAGTTTGTAAATTTCAGTTTAAACGACAAAAGCGATGGTAGGAAACATGAAATTCAGTTACTTTTCGATCATGTGAAAAACGTAACGAAAGAATAAACCCAATTATATGACAAAAAATATGTTTGTGAATTCACAATCCTAACTGTCAATCGAGTGACAGTACACATTTTAAGAGTTTGCAGGATGGTGTAGTGGTAAATAACTCCCTGAGTTACATATTTCTGCAAGTATTCAACATTGGTACTGATCTCACTAGTTTTACTGGACACATCCTAGCTGAAGGCGCTCGGTCACGCATCCTCACCAGCTTACGAGTGGGTACGTCGTGCTACACATCCCTCTCAAGTAATAGCCAGCTCGGGTCAGACGCTTCTCAACATATCGACCACTCTCTAAATATATCTTCGAACTCATGCCCAATTTATGATTGCTACCTTTCAATTATAAACGTGTTACGGACAAAAGCGTTGTTAAACTCTGAATATCTGTGGGGTCCTTAACGGTTTTGTACAACAAAACAAACTACACATCTACTAACTAGCATTAAAGAGGAAACGCATCCCTCTTCACACATAAGAAATCGGTGTTTGCATATTAAAGGCAGAATTCGAGAGATTCTCATTATCACTTTTCAAATACCACAGTAAAGAACATATTATCCACCATGTCAATGACTTTTGATCATTTCAACAAAATATGGGATTTTAAGAGCTGATGACAATTTCTGAAATAACGAAGACTGACAATATTTTCCACCAACTGTTTTAAATAAGTACGACGGATTCATCACACGGTTTATTATCTTGAGATGGGATTGTCATGTTCGGTTGAGGTAGTGGATCCTTGAAAATGAATTTGGCGACCGAATGATTTTTAGCAATTACTGCTGTTAATCCTTTGTTCTAGTTTCCTCTGAAATTTTTCACTTCTAACAAAAATACCGACACTTCAGGAATATTCAGATTAACATTTTATATGGAATAGTTCAAAATTACCTGAAGAATCTCTTGTTCAGAGAGGTGTGAGTAGATTGCTCTACACATTAAGCTTCACACATTTTTGTGACAAATTTAAGTGTTACTCAGTTCAGTTCGGACAGTTGGACAAACATGTGACCCGATCTTTGCGTTCCATAAAATTTTAACGGTTTGACTTATTTTTAACATGAGAGATTACTGGTCTTTACTTGGGACTATGATTTAAAAAAGGATTGATCGGAAGTGATCCAATCAACAAGTATCGGCAAAAGTAACCAGATTGATGTTTTCAGTTGACTAAAATGTCTTGGTATATAAAGTATTTAACGATAATGTTGACAATTTATTCTGTGAACATGATAATCGTTAAATAATTCATTGTATGCCTACAAATTTATGCAATATTCAATACGGTGAATGTCACACTATTTTATTTCGTAAATCTACCCATTTTTGTATATCAAGACTATAAGAAATTCATTCTGGGAATAATCTGTATCATTAGGAAAACTCAGTTTAAATGATGGGATATATGCTAGGAAATTGTCGATATGATCTTTCGACCACCGAACACTAAAATATGGGATTGATTGTTTACCGTTAACTGATTAGCGTATAAAGCACAGCTCAACCGGGGTAACTAACCATTTAAATGAATTTTGCACTTCCCGAAGTTTATTCTAAAACTAGTAGCATATTTAGTCTACAACATTATCGCGTGGAACGGACATAAATCAAGCACTTCAAACCATAAAAATAACGAGTAAGCAATCAACAAAACCAATTGAATATCCCCCAAACTATAATAAAGTATTATCGAAGGCTTTTAACAGTACTTTACAGGAAACCAATTTCTCAGGGATCGCTCAGTATGTAGCCTTACCCTCTGATATGAACGTTTGCATTAAAGATAAATGAGAGTATATTGTAATGTAAATGCACTGTGCGCTTTAGGGACCGGATGCTTTTCCAGGTTCACTTTTTGAAATTTTGACAGAATACTCAGGACAGTCCTATCTGAAATTTTTGAAAACACTGACATGAAGCATTTTGACCAAAAGTGTATTTGTGACAAAAACTTAACACTAACGAATTCCCGTCGCACTGAGTATTAGGCCAAACAGGACTCTCGTTTTCAAATTTAGATTACCGAGTTTCGTCCAATAAGCTGTCTTTAATCGAATTAGAATGTTAGAACATACAAAAGATCTAAGAACATGATTCTAACATGTGCAGTTGACGTATTTAGTGTAATTTGTGATACATTCAGACGACATCCTGTAATAAAGACGGAAAAGGAGTATTTATGATGTTAAGTAGCTGGGATTTGCCAACTAACTAGTTGCTGGTAATCGAATGGCCGAAAAATCATTTGTAAAATTTACAATATTATGCGGTTTGTATATTTCCGGGAAAATAATTGAGGAACAACGGCTCAGGAGCTCAGAAACTCATCTTCAAGCCAGCAAGTCATGAGACAGGTCCCCACTTGACCTATAAAGGGTTACATAGTTAAGCAATATAATTACCTTTTATACAATAGACGTAGCTAACAGACTGATATACGGACCCACACAAATAGTTGTTACTTGCACCAGAGAGAACTAGTGTACTTATAGAATTTTAATAATGGATTTGAATCATATTTGGTTTATACAAATTTAGCATGGCTATAGTATAAATATACTAATCTGAACTAGCAGGTGTCATAGATATTTATTCGAAAAACACATAACAGTAATAACAAGCTGTTAATTTATGTAAAACTTAGAGTGATGCGTATACATTAAGAAAATTTGCTTCAAGTCATTCATTACATTTTGTAGCAGAAGGGACACAGAACTTCACATTTGTCAAGAAGTCATTACTCGTCATATATACTTCTATAATTCATATACTACAGACAATTCATTAATAGTCATTACCCAAAGAACAGACAAAGAAATACCATCAGTTTGGGAAATAATTTATTCAATAACGCTGAAGGTTTTGTTAAATATTCTACAAACGAGTGCCATATAGAAGTAAAAAGTCATCGTTCCAGACCAACTTTACCACGAGTTTGAATAGTTTTCAAGTTTATCGCCAGCATTCATAGCAATCTAAAAAAAGTGAATGGGGAAATCGCATACAATAAATTGCTTAAATTAATTTAAGAGATGGGAAATGAATGCAAAGACAAAAATCATGTTATGAATGACGAGGAAATACAGTGGTTATATTCGTTTAGCGGAGAATGCACTATGTATTTAATATTACGTTGAATACACCAACAAAATGATTGTGTAAGCATAGAATTGAAGGCATTAATCTATTTCTTCATCCAAACTAGAGAAACAGATAAGACAACTACATCGACTAACAGGGAACTTCCGTAAGATGCGGCACGAAACATTTGTTTTTTTTTCCATTTGCTTTTAATTGCACAGCAAAATTGAAATAATTGTCAGATTTTTGGCAAGTTGTACGGCTAAGACCTTACAACTAATCAACTCTCTCCATAGTTCCCACTTTAAAACGACTAACAGTCCAGATTACAAGTTTTGATTTACATAGCAAAGAAATGATCAACTAACGAAATATTTCATCGGCAGTGTAAAACTGACCAGTTAGACAAGAATCCCATGGTGTATCAGACAATAAACCATAAAGCCACAAAGACTTTTTCTAACCAGTCGATAAAGACTCGTAACAGTCGAGTATCTCACAATTATTGTCTACGTACATGCTAACCAAATGTGACAGTTTAAAGTAATTTGTGATGAGTATAATTATAATGTACATTACAACGAATATATATAAGAAATCGATCACTAGTCACTAATTTGACAATTCGACATTTTTCGGAAAATAAGTTGTAGTTTATATAAATAAAATGCAACTGAAAAAACTATGAAGCAAAGGTAAGAAAAAAATATTCTTACATGAGATGATTGCGACGATCTCCTTGCTCAGTAGAGTTATACACTTTCATGATACCGAGTACGTCTAACAAATTCATGTCAAATGGTCAAGATTAGATACAAAAGTATTCACCCTTCATTTCCAGACTAGCTATATGGTATATGCGTAGACTTCTATATACGTAGGTCTATCAATTTGCTTCCGTGATACACGGACAAATGGTTTTTTCATAACACTCGGCAGATAGTGACCAACACTCATCGATCGTGTTGAGTGTCCAAAAAACACCTCCACATTAGGAAAGTCAATTCGTTCGAAGTTAGCGTAAACTCCAGCAACACCAGCAAATTTTTCCATATCACAGGAAAGATACTTAGAATTTAAAAATCCATCAGTGAGAGATGAGTGAATTATTTCGGAAACGGAAATGGAGTCACCATTAAAACGTTCTGCAGAACGCTGAGCAAGTTGAGTTTTTATAAGTTGTTCACCAGTGCCTGAAGTGACAACCCCAATACTAGAAAATGAACTGAGTTCTTCTGCCCAACAACCACAACCATATGTACACGCTTGACCTAGACGACCTTCATACTTCATTGCAATACCACCACTAGAAGATGCTGCAGCAATCTTCCCTTCTATATCAATACAAACAGCACCAACAGTATCAAATCTATGGACACGAGACTTTTTCAACTCAGGAACATTTTCATGATGATTAAAATGAGAATCTTTTGTAGTTGCATCCATTTCGTTCCCATTAAATAACCAACTTTTGTACTTTTCCCATGAAACCCGCGAATGTTTTGTGACGAGATTACTATTATCAACAGGATATCCTTTTGACGCAGCCCACAGATGAGCACCATCACCGACAAGTACAGATGGAGGAACGCGTCCTAACTCACCCAGAGGATGGTCAATTTGTGACTGTAACAGAAGCCTTGCAACCTTTACGGGATTCTTCATATTACGAACAGCTCCAATCCCGGCGAACTGAAGGGTAGAGCCACTCATTATTCCCGCATCACATTCCACATACCCATTAATACTCAGATTACTACCGATCCCTGCATTGGTTAATGGGCAGTCTTCTAAATACGCTACAGCTGCTTCCACAGCGTCGATGGCACTTTTGTGATCAACTGACAAAAGTTTCCCGGCCAATGAACAGGCTTCAGAACACAATTTATTATATTTCTTTTCTTTTGATTTAGAATGATATCCGGCACCAGCGTGTACGACGACACATGCCATGAGATAACAAAGTGTATTACTGGGAAATGTGAAAAATTTTGAAAACAGTTAAATCAGTATATGTTAAAACAACTCAGATGAAAAAGTTAAGTCTGATGACTCAAACGATCGTTTGTTAATTGATTGACAAACGTACTCTGAAGTCATCTTGTAAACATTCCTTATAACTCGAGTAATTAAAATAGTAACTTTGCTCGAAGTATATGTTGCAGTGAAATCAGAAGCATATACAACAACGACAAGCTAATTTACTTGCTGGTGAAATTATCGTAGCTAAGACGAACGCACAAAACGCAATCGTACTTAAATGGTTCAAATGGTTGTGGACGGAATAGGAGAAGCTTTCGCTTAACAGGATACGCTCCAAAGTGACCTTATCCTTTTGGAGTGAGGGGGGAGTACTATGTTTCCGTACTCTAAATGGGGACGGATGAAACTATTGAAGATTGTGTGGAAAGTTCTTCCGTCAAACTGGCCAAAAATGCGCCTCAACGTTACCAGTGCAAGTTGTAAAGGTCACATCAGGGCAATTAAACAAACTGTAGCACTTAGGAGTGAGAATATTTTGTTATCTCCAAAAATAATCTGAATTATAACTGATAAACTCACTTCGAGACAAGAAAAGTTTTTCAACCCAAAAGAAGGAATCTGAATTTTCTAAAGATTTCGGGATGCCATGAAAATAGGTCCCTCTGAATGTTTCCATACCAAAAAAAACATCAACAATTCTAAAATTGCCGGATCACTTGTTGAAATAAGAAGAGAAAACAAATGCTCTTGTATGGTGACCCCAAATGCTCCGGTACAACCGAGGGTGGGGAGAGTCTACTCTCTCTCTCGAGCTGCTCTCACATGGTCACGTGCATACAATAACTGTCAGGGAAGTCCCACTCACTGCGTTTTCGCGGCGGGGGTTTCGTCTGCGAAATAGAAAGGACGGAAAACGAATGTTCGGCGCTTGAACCAAGTTGATGGACACGGAAGGCTACCTAGTAAGTGGAACAACCCTGATTGCAAAAGATTGGTGCACATGGGCTTCAGAATCCTGAGGATAACAGATGGGGTTCAAATTGTTCAAATGTTTGTGGACGGAATAGGAGAAGCTTTCGCCCAACAGGCTTCCGTGTCTAGTAGTAGGGGATCACCAAATCCTCCAGGCAGGAACCTAGGTATGTTAACAATAAAAAAGGAAAAGAAATTGGTAAATCATAATGTGATGCTGTCCTTGGTCCTTAAGAATAGGTCAAGTTGCCTCTTGAAGGACTCCTGAGAAGTCGCTTGGACTAGCTCGGCCGGCAGCGAGTTCCAGCTTTTGACAACTCTTAAGGAGTAGAAGTTGTGTCTACATTCCGTCTTGCTATGTTGTGTTTCCAGTTTCTGGGTGTTACCCCTTAGGTTATTGTTCGAACTAAGCTTAAGTAGGTGTTTAAGAGGATGTCCAGAAGTGTTAAGAATACTATAAGCCATTAATAAATCACCTCTAAGACGCCTATATTCTAGTGGGTAAAGGTCTAGTGAACGGAGGCGTTCTTCGTAAGGCTTAGATTTGAGTCCTCGAACTGATTTCGTGGCTCGCCGTTGGATACGCTCCAAAGTGACCTTGTCCTTTTGGAGTGAGGGGGGAGTACTATGTTTCCGTACTCTAAATGGGGACGGATGAAACTATTGAAGATTGTGTGGAAAGTTCTTCCGTCAAACTGGCCAAAAATGCGCCTCAACGTTACCAGTGCAAGGTTTGCTCGGAAGGCATTTTTGTCACAGTTAGCGTAAGACTTCAAGTCATGGGGCACCAGGACTCCTAAATCTTTTTCGACTTGGGATACTACTAGAGAGGAGTTTCCTAAGTTGTAACTGTAGTTTGCGACATGTCGCAGATGGACTACTTTACACTTTGAAGTGTTAAAGGTAAGTCCGTTATCGTCTGCCCAACTTTGAAGTCGAGTCAGATCCTCTTGAAGTGCCTGTATATCGTCTTGGTTGCGTATCTCTCTCCAAAGTTTCACGTCGTCGGCAAAAAGTAATAAGTCTGACGTTACCTGTTGAGGAAGATCATTTATGTAGATCAAGAAGAGAAGGGGCCCTAGTACTGAGCCCTGGATGACCCCACTAGGACATTCCATAGCCTGAGATAAAGTGAAATTAACCCTAACCTTAAGATGTCGATTTTTTAGGTATGAAGTAAGCCAGTCGATTAGAGGTGGTTTGATACCTAGTCGTTTGAGCTTGTTGATAAGACACAAGTGGTTAACCTTATCAAAAGCTTTTGAGAAATCAAGGCAAATGACGTCAAGCTTTCCCTTGCAATCGAGGATGCTTGCCCATTTGTCCACCGTAGTCAGCAGGTTGGTTATACAAGAGTAACCCTTCCTGAAACCATGTTGTTGGGGTGAGGAGAAATTTAAGGACAGTAAATAGTCATTTAAACCGTCGCATATCAGGGACTCCATGAGTTTTGAAGGTAATGACAGAAGAGCCACCGGCCGATAACCCGAAGGTTCATTGCGTCGACCACCTTTGAAAATTGGTGTGATGTGAGCCAACTTCCAGTTTTCCGGTAATTTGCCTCGGCTAAGCGATTGTGAAAACATCACGCTAAGCGGCGTTGCCAGGATTGAGGCTGCCTCCCTCAGTATGGCAGGATGAACCATATCCGAGCCAGAAGAAGTGTCAAGTCTTAAGTGCTGCAATTTCCGGAACACCAAGTCAGCGCTTAGGTCCACTTCAGAAAGTCCTGTGGAATTGCAGATGAAACTGTCGTCAATAAAGTTGATGTCAGCCGGTTGAAATATTGAGAGTAATGGGCCGCCAGAAGGTTAGCGGCGTCGCCATCGTTGTTGGTCGGGCCGTTAAGACCTAGCAGTTGAGAAACTCCTGTTTTGGCTTGACGAAGAGAAGCTGCATAACGGAATAGGCTTCTAGGGTTAGAGGCGAATTTGTCCATAAGCTTTGCTTGGTACTGAAGCCTGTCTTCTCTTATAGCCTTCGTGCATGTGTTCCTGATATGTTTGTATTGCCTGTACGCTGCCTCGTTATCAGTTCGTTTGTATTCTGCCCAACAGTGCCTTTTGCGGCTTAGCAGGCGAAGGGTACGGTTCTTGATTACTGTAGGTAGCTTGCAGCTTTTGGGAACCGTTTGAGGAACTGAATGGTTTGTAGCACATAAGAGCATGTGCAGCAAGAAGTTCCAATGACCGTCCACAACGAGTTGAGGGTGAACATCTCAAACCACCTGTTGTAGATAGTCATGTAGAGCTGGCACATTCAGCCGTTTAAAATTCCAACGCAAAATATTGTTGGGATACATTAGCTTAGTTTTGATGACAAAACTGAAGGCTATGACGGCATGATCGCTCTTTCCCAGAGGAGCTAGGATTGAGAGGTTGTCAACTAGGAATTCTTCGTTTGTGAATACACAGTCTAAGCGCGATGGTGTCTGACTGTTGGTAATGTTCCTGCACGACGATACTCAAGCCATTCGATTCGCACTTAATCAGTTGGCAATTAGTGTCCGTATGTATGGTATGTGCTTTTCACATTCCAAGTGCCAAACGCTTTTACAGGACTGACAGGACCCTGATCCTGTACTCACCATGGGTAGTGAGTGGATAGAAGTAGTCGAGAATTTCGTGTATCTGGGTAGCTGTGTAAGTGTTGGTATTTGCACGAATGATGAAATCAATTCAAGTATGGTGAAAGCCAGAGCAGCCAATGCCCATCTTTGGTGCTTTCGTGATGTTAGTTTTGTAGTAAAATGTCGGATGTACAACGTGTTGATGAAGGGAGTTTTGATCTATGCTTGTAAGACGTGATCTCCTCAATTTGAGAGTGTTAGATTACTCGAGCAAACCTTGCGCTAGTAACACTGAAGCGCATTTTTTGGCCAGTTTGATGGAAAAAGTTTCCACATAATCTTCAACAGTTTTATTTGTCCCCATCTAGAGTACGGAAACATAGTATTTCCTCACTCACTCCAAAAGGATAAGGACACTCTGGAACGTGTTCAACTGCGAGCAACGAAATCAGTTTAGCGACTCAAACTCAAGCCTTGTGAAGAATGCCTACGATTACTGAACGTTTACTCTTTATCTTTAACATTACAGGCATCTTGGAGGTACACTCTAATGACTTACAGAATCCGTATTACGTCTGAACATCCCCTTAAACACCAACTTAAGCTTAGTTTCAACACAAACCTAAGGGGTAACACCCAGAAACTGGAGACACAACTCAGCAGAACAGACTGTAGACATGACTTATAGTCCTTAAGAGTAGTCGAATGATGTAATTCGCTGCTGGTCCAAACGACTTCCCAGGCTTCTTTTAAAAGGAAACTTGACATATTCTTGAGGATTAAGGGTAGTGTCGTACTATGATTTAACAGCTTTTTCCTTTTCCACTTTTGTCGATAATATACCATGGTTCCTGCCTGCAAGTATTGGTGATGCACTGCTACTAGATATGGAAGCTTGTTAAGCGAAAGCTTCTTCTATTTCATCCAAAACCATTTGAACCATTTGAACTTCCTTTGTGTTATCCGGTCATCAAAACAGTAATAACACTTTGATACGGCGAAGGGATAAATCTCGTTAGGTGATTACCACGAGGTGTGACTTCGAAGGTGACTGTTGACCGCACTATTCCCGTCTAACATGAGTAGGCCCATAACCATTCGACATAGATCAGTTAAATTAGTGATCTACGAGATCATCAGGATGTAGGGTCAGTGAAACGTCACTGGCCGTAAGCCAACTCATCCGGCAGTCAAGTCACTAAACACCGAGTAGTTTGCCAATCCCCATCAAATTCAAAGACAACTAACGCGCATTAATCAATTGTATGCTATGGGCTAGCCCAAGCGGCGGTGATTGCATTCTGTTTCTTGAGTCTATTCTTACTAATACGTTTCTACAATAACATTTCGTTTTGTTTACACAGTCATCATAGTACCATTGAACCTGGATACGTCGAAAGGGGAATCCACGCAAGGTATTAATCGGGAG